ATTGGTTCCTTGCCACAAGGCAGGCATCTGACCTTAGTGACTAAGACAAGGTCAGACAAGCCCGTGTTTGGCTGTTATGGAGGCCGAATTGGGGAGCTGGTCCCTTCACCACCACTGCCTGGCCAAACCATAGTTTTTGTTTTCATTTCAGTTTCATTCTGTATGTGCAGCAATTGAAACTAGACTTGGGGTTGCTTTCCCCAGTTGTCTAGCTGCAAGGGATCCAAACACAAAAACCAGGATGAAGATACCCTGATGATAGAGTGTCAAGAATGGGTAAGGTCTGATTTCAGGCTTTGTTTTTTTAATGTTAACATTCAAGTTTCCCTGAGTGCCTCCCACAAGGTCCACTGAAATAATACATCTTTTCTTCCAGCAGAAAATATGAAGGATGTTTTCATTCAACCCCTTGCTTTTTATCCACTTCCATCAAGCCCTCATTATGTGTCAGGCACAAAGCTAAGTGCGTGCTGTGTGCCTTTCATTTCATTCTAGAAATAATTACATCAAGTGGGTAAGATGATTGTTTCCATGCTAGACATAAAGGCTCTGACTCACAGAGGGCTTAAGTTACAGATCACAGACTCTGAGAAACCCTAATGGGTCTCAGACTCAGGATAGGCTAACAGCCAAGCTCACACTTTTAACCAGTATGCAAAGCACCTCTCTTTTTTTTTTTTTACCAAGACAATGAAAACTGAATGGCCTTCAGTCCTTCTCTCAGATAAGCAAACAAGGGTAACCAGAGCTTTTAAACAATTCTCTTTGTTGTGTACATTGTCACAAGTGGCTCATGTGAGAATTCTTTTGGTCCAGACTAGTATAAACCAGTATATGTTCCAGAAGTACAAGCACAGTTTTTCTTCTGTCACAATAAGGTCAGCACGGTCCTACCTCACATAAATGTAGGAAAGTTGATAGAGCACGCCCTCGCATGTTCTTTGAGCACACAGTAGAAGTTTTATTGAAAATAGTGCCAGTTTGCTTTGTCTACAACATAAATCAGGTCAAATTATTTTCTCCCACTTTGGGAACAAACAGTTCCTAAACTTGCAAATTGACTCTTTTGTCATGTCCTGGCTATCATGGCTTTTAAGGACAATCTGTAAGAAAAATGGTGTCTGAAAGAATGGAGACTGGCTCAGCAGTCTGCTCCTCTTATTGGGTGAGCACTGTCAGTTCAGCTCTTGCACACTTCCACATCTTCGAAAATTCTCAAATGAAAATGTTAGTGCCTGCTGGGAATGCTACATGCAGAGACATGGGCTGGGCTGTGAATTGCCATGTAGCAAAGAGCATCCTGAATATCCCTGGTGCAGCAGATGATCCCAAGATTTTAATTGTGACGCAAAAATGGAAAGGCCATGGTAGGGCTGTTTTCCCCCACAGTTATAAAAATAAATAAATAAATAAAATCCACAGCTCACCCCCACCCCTAGGGTACAAATCTGTAAAGGCTGGGAAACCTGGGAACACTCCTACAAATGGAGGAGGCCCCCTCCCTACAGCCCCCAATAAAAAAATGACAAGACCATTACTTTCAAACAGTTCTTTAGAATACATATGATTTTACCATTTATTAAAGACAAAAGAAAATTTGTATCCTAATGAGATGGGTGTGTTTGTTTCTTTATACAGTGTGAGTGAAACTGGCTCAATACCTGAGACTCAGTGATACAGAACATCTTCAGTCTTTTTCAGGGATGATCTATGGGGTAATTTTATGATCTTCAATGTGTTCTTCCCATGAACACAGAGCACAAATTGGTAGAAGCAGGTTTAAAGACATTTTAGTAATTGTTGGAAATTCTGTCCTATGCATTAACCGAAGTTCATTTAACAGACCTTAAGTGAAATTTAAGTCAGCCATGCAAGAAACAGTTGCTAAAATTAAGCTCTCTAACACACCTAGAAACCACAGATATGCTAATTTGACACTAGCATGCTGAGGAATGACAGTAGAGAAATCTGAAAGTCTTTGTTTTCGGTTGTGGAGCTATAGTGTTTGGTAAGAGCAGAAAACCTTGTGCATAACAGTAAAAACACTGCAATTCTTAGTAAGACTCTTTGAGTAGAGGGACTTCAGGCAATACTGGTTGGGGCTGCATGTTGTGATGGCATGTAACCGTGCAAGGAGCACATGTTGTATGTAAAGAACTGAGGCCACTGTGAAGTGACTCACACCAGAAGCTAAGGCCATCAGAGATACCCCGGCTTCCTTACACATTTGATTTTGAATTACCTTTTGGCTGTTGCACATTCAGAAAGCTTTCATTGTGGTCAGGATTTTTGCAGCCCTACCTTCGATTCCCTAGCACAAGATTGCAGCCCACAGTTTAAGAGTTTACATTTGAGATAAAGTAGCTCTCCCAAGGGTGGAGGGTGCTGCAAGAACAAGGATGCACATCACAGGCTTTTTTTTTTTTTTTTGATCTTGCTACAGCTCACATCCGTTCAACTGAGCCTGTGGGTAGACCCTCAGATTTGGGGACTTTTCATTTCGATTCTACATTAGATCTGGGCAGAAAGTATGTTTGTGTTGGGGTGTGGGGTTCCCTTCCTATTAGCATTGCTGTACAGCTGAGCTCTCTGGCTAAAATAATGAGTGTTTGCCAATGTGGAAGGCCTTGCCTTTCCAGGATGCAAGAGCAGCCTGACTATCCCTGGGGTGAGGCAGACGTGAAGGCAGCAGACCTGCACAGGGAGGGCCCCCCTGGAGCTTTTGCACACATGCCTTTGCATATGGGTCTTCTGTCCAGTGGGAAAAACAGTGAAACTTACACAGGTCGCTGCACTCTTCCGGGGTCTGAATCTGTTTCAACCTGCCACCTAACAGCCCAGAATCCAAACACCTTCATTTATGGAATGGAAACAATCCCACTGTGTAAACGGTTTGCTTTACTTCTGCATGTTTTGCTGGAGATTCACCAAATAACAGATTTTTAAATGTTGGGAATGGCAAAACACTGTTAGATGCTTCGCTGGAACTGGGTGGGTTTAAAGGAAAAGAGTCCAAGCTCAACAGTCCACAAACCAGTTGAGCTATCTCGGAACAGTAGCAAAGATGGACCTCTTAGAGGAAAGCGGATACAGACCACCTTCCCCGGATCTGACCTTCCCGCCCCCCTTCTTCCTGATAATGCAGGCAGCTTTTCAGCAGCAAAGCCAGTTCGATTTGTTAACTGATGGTCCTGTTTCCTAAATGGATTCTTAAAAAATCATGATAAATACAGAGTGCATTGTGGGTGAAGAACAACTCCGGCCACTGTGGGCAGGACTTACTGGATGGAGGATACATGGGTCTGCTTGGCATAGCCGAGTGACCTGTGTAATGCAATCACAGCAGATGTATGAGTCTTACACGGGGGTTGTGAGAGCGTGTCTTCGGGGCCTTCCTGGGGTGCACCACGTGATTTCTTGAGCTACCATGAACGTTCACCCCAGGGCGGTGGGAGAAAAGAAAGCCAGGCTTGGGATCAGCTCCTGAAATGGCAGATGAAGTTTGTTACTCCCCCTCCCGAGGGACTTAGGAAATGGTTTTGGCAAAGAACACAGAGTGCATACCGCATCCTTGCTGCCTCAAAGTCCCGGGGGAGTTGCAGCTAAAGGGGGCGCGAGGGTCTGAAGGTGGGGGGAAGGAAGCGGCGTCAGTCAACTTCCTCGGCTGCGGTGGCTGTGGCAGCAGCGGGGTGTGCACCGGGCTATGCCAACCCTCCCCTGGGCCGGGAAGGGGCGGAGCTGGGCGTCGCCGCTCCGGTTGTCCCCTCCTCCCCGCCGCTCTCGGGTGCAGAGCTCTCCGCGG